TCACTTCTGCAACGGTCAATTTATTTCTGCTATCTCGGCGATCGTCTCTTCCTTTAAATACTCTTTTGTTTACTTTCGGGAACCTTCTGGAAACATCCGGATAGTTTATTTTTTCTTTGAACTGTTTAACTGCTTTCCCAGAACGCAGGTACGACACACACATTTACAAATACGGCGCACATGAAGAAAGGCGCCCGCGGCTAGTCGGCGAATCGATAAGCCGTTCACGCACACGTGTGCTCTATCGTACACAAACACACTCGTGCTCGCTACAATACTAAGGCAACTTTCACACAATACGACAGCGACGCGATTTATTGTATTTAAGTATTTTTATAAAAAGTATAATAGATTACAATGGGTAACGTGAAAATAAACACACACATTCACAACTATTTATTGATGACCTCATCAGAAATAAATATTTAAATCAGTTATCACGTAATTTTTAATGTATTGACGGCATATAAACCATCTATTTATGCCTGAAGCGGTTAACAATAAATAGTTGACGAAACGTCGCAAATTAGAATATGTATTAATTTTCAAGTTGCGTTTTATGATTGGTTATACCTTTTATAAAGTTCAATACATTTTGTCCATCGATAGTCGACACGCACGTCTCCCAAGTTCTCCAAAACAGAACAAAGGTCAAAGGTTCAGTGTCTACTTAATGCGAGACTTTGCTATAGGTCGAGCATTCCTTTGTCTATTTTTCGTGTTCTTTATTAAAAGTTTTCGTAGAAATAAAACTTTTATCTTTAATTAATCTCGTGCAAGTCAATTAATTAAGGATAGCCGTTAAACACAAGTGAGCAGTCCCGTGTGCAAAGTTCCCGTTGTGAATGACTCAGTCGGTTCAATTCCCCACAAACGACCTGTTGAAGGGACATGTATTGATCAGTCCTCATCACATGACTAATTCCGGAGGCGTATTAGGGAAGAATTTGCCTCAGCCAGCAAAATAATGATGAACAAGAACAAAAACCGAGCAACAGACGTAGACAAAAAACGATCAAAATTTAATGCACATGATGGAGTATTTTTTGTAATATTTTTTTATTGTAATAAAACATTTAGAAATTCATCATATTTCTTTATTACATCAACAATAAGATACAATAAAAAATCTATTTGTACAATGTTTACCTAAAGAAGTTTTTGTATAGTAAATCAATGTTGTGTGCGAACTAATAATTTTTCTTGAAGCAATTACTAGCTTTCAATTCCAAATTATAGAGCTAGGGGATGGACTACTCAATGCGGTACAAATCCAGAGTCCTCAGATTCACCGCCAGAATGTGCTTGTTATAGTCTTCTTTCTAGTTATAAACAGGTCAACAAGAGTACTATTTCCACAAATTCTGTTAAAAGGACCGAATAAGTAGTCAAAGATATTCAATAAAAAGTAAATAAACCTAATTTGCGAGGGGTTATTTTATAGATACTAATAATTCATCTTTATTAAATATGAGTCAACAAAACCTCCGATCTTATATATTTGTGACTTGAAGCAAAAAGAGGTAATGTAAAAATCTTCACATTTGAGATGATTGCAATTAAAGTCAAGAATACTTTTAATTACACCTTAAATGGAGTCCATGTTTAATATAAAAAGGGTGTCATAATTATTAGACCAAAATATGAACATTGGATCAAACATAGTTTAATAAAATTATGCTGTGGATAAAGATACTGGGTGTTAATGGTTTTGAAAATTGGCACAGGCTTTAACACACTTTAACCAAAAAATATTATTTTAAATTTTTTTTACAAGGGGCGCCACATGAGCGAGCTATGAGGATGAAATTGGATCAATAATTTAGATTATAAAACATGATATAAACATCATTTTTACATAAAATTTTTATATTTCGTTCAGCTTGATAATTTGAATCGTTTTAGGGAAAATACTGTTGAACACTTCAGAGCATTTCACTGTAGCATTATAGGTTAATTTGTAATGTATTTTGTTAATAAATGTAAATTAGGCAAAAATGGATTAAAACGTTTCAGCCAGCTCCGACAGAATACAGACCTACTTTTACAGCGACGCGCTGATGAGATCCAAAAAGATCGAAATCGCAATCCGCGTCTGGCAGTTTCGACAGAATACAGACCACTTCAAATTATTTTAATCTTCACAATTGTTTTTTTTTTATACATTTTCTTTACTGAGACATCAAATCTACAGACAACGACGAAACATCGTCAAAGGACCTACAATATTAGCAGAAAACTCAGTACGCCAGGAATTGATAATAGAAACGTTATATTTTTCTTTACTTGAAAAAAAAAATAGTTTAATGATAATATATTCTGTCTCTTATTCGTAATAATTATTTTTATTTCAATGTTCCATTGTTTTAAATTTCTTATTTTGGTTTCGATGTTAAAAAAGGAGGAACAAAAACGTCTACTGGTACAACAAAAATTTTTACGCAAGCACTGCCTTCAGCATTAGATGGTGAGTATTTCTTATTTCTTTTAATTGTTTGCTTGTAATAGTAAAAGTGTAAAGAAATTAATAGTAAATAATAATATTCGATGTGGATAAATTCATAATATTCTAATTATAAATGCTTATAAATGAAATACGAATTGTTAAATTTCATAGGCAGAGAACTTACTATTGTAAGGAAAATATCAGCACATGCCTTAAATTAATAAGGCGTGTTGTTTAATTCTGAGGTGGAAGGTAGAATAATAGAACTCTTACAGCGATGTCGACTTAATTGATATATATTTACAACTATTTACAGAGTATCTCCAACGATTGATTAGTGATTAACGATACAAGTGCAAGTCTTAATTCAAGTGCCTGTCACTTCTTATATCTACAACTTAAACTAGGAGGAAAACACCAAGGGTGTGACGAGTATCACCATTGGTGATTAACCTTTTCAAAATATTTCGGTGCAAACTTAGAAGGCGGGGCTTTCAACTCAAAAAATTGGAAACAGGGATGTTTACAACCTGAAAAATTGGCTACATCAAATAATAAAGAAACGGCACTTTCTAACGGTTAGGCCCATAAAATAAACACTATAATAAAACTGCAACTGAATTGAGATCGTTCCTTAACCGTTGCCTCTATAAACTAATTTAACCATTGAACCGATGCATCCAGCTATTCTCGAAGGGTCTACTACCAAATAAACACCATGCCGCCTTGTAAATTAGCAAAATATTCTATAAATTGTATACAGGAATTTTATGACCTGTATCAAGAAGAACGGTCTCTGAACATACCGCCCGCCTTGAACGGTCCCCGTTCAATAATAATTGCAAATGTAAATGATTTCCATTACAGCACAGTAGAAGCTACAACAATGAATTCAACTATACCTACAAAACACTGCGATTTAAGTTATATATGGGTTAATAATTTTAAAAATGCTAACATTGTAACAAAACGCGTGCCTTATCAGTAGTAGACGGCTGGCAAACCCACGCCATCCGTTCCTTTTTAATTAATCAGCAGTAATGCAAGTTTTCTTTAAACAATCAATAACATCGATCGTGGAGTTACAAAAAGTTTTTTAAACGACTAGGTCGGTCTCTTATCGTGCTAATAGTTAACGCACATGGTGNCCGGTCACTCCAAAATTTTTTAGACGGTAAAACCTTCACCTCAAATGAGGAGGTCAAAAACCTCCTCGATCAGTTTTTTGCCAGCAAAGACCAAAAATTTTTGAGCGTGGAATTATGCTACTACCAGAAAGATGGCAAAAGGTGTTGGACCAGAACGGTCAATATATAATTTAATAAAGTATTTGTTTATTATACGAAAACTGTCTTTCATTTCTACTTTCCGAACAACCCTATATTTTGTGAATTAATGATTGCTGTTATGGAGCAATACATATAACAAGAGAACCAATTCAAATTTCTAATTAAAATTGTTGTTTAATTTACTTTGTATCATGGTTAAGTTGGGTAAACGTTTCCCTTCCTCCCTCCATCTTCTTACTCTTCCTCTCCTCCAACCAGCTTTCTCGTACACGCTATGATTCCGAAAGATATTAATTATACAATAAAGATTTTCTTGCTTTCCCATCTTATCCCTTCCCCTTTCACTTCCAGTACGATGCCAAACTGCCAAACTAAACTCGAACCAACAATACCGAACTACAGTTCAAAAATTTATTTCACTTTTATTAAAGATTTCATTGCACGGATTTCTTGTAGAGTTCTTTTTTTTTAACTAATGTTATTTTCACGTTACTTCTTCAGAATTACTTACAAAATTTTCTTTCACAAGTAATGTGTTTCTCTACAAATTGGATTTCTGAAGATTATTCACTCCCTGATGGGAAAGGTCTATTTTTAGAAATAAATCTCGGAATAATAATACAAAATGTGGTAGTCGACAATTTACCTCTAGCCTTGCCACTTCAATTCCTGCATGAGCGAACTGATGCTTTTACAAAATAAATGTTAACTGATCCAAATTAATCACTGTACAAAGGGTAAATTATTTCGTAAGACTTTTTAAATTTAAATTTCCAGTTTGTGGGAGACAAGTTATAATTACTAACGACATTTTAATCACGAAGAGCATTGTTTTCAATAAATGTTTAGTTCCCACGTGTACGTACACGTGCAAATGAACCTAACGCAGATATTTACATGCTAAATACTAGTCCAATCAATAGAGACCGGCTTACGATTCAATTTTCAAAATTCAAAATTTTTCAAATTCATTTTTGGAGACCTTAAACTAATAAAATCCTTGCTATTCTTTTTAATCGTGAATATACGATTCTTAAAGAAAAAAAAATCCCAAAATGGTTTCCGTCGGATCTCCCCTCGAGATAGAGAAGCCGATTTTCGAGATAATCGATATATTGAAAAATGTTTAATATATTTTCATTTCCGACGAAGGTACATTATTGACTTGCCATGGGCTACATTTACAGCAGTAGGAAATTAAAAAGCGTTAAATTGAAAAAACTATGGCGAAAACAAAACAAGTCGAGTGTCGACGGTTTTTTCGATATATCTCGAAAAGTAATGCTCTGATCAATAGCAAAAAAAAGAGATCTTTTTAATACCTACAACTTTCTCATTTAAATTTTTCCTCTAGGAGCTTTATTATTTTTTGTTTTATTTGCAAAAAAACCGTTTTCTTTTTCGAGTTTACGAATTTTTTAGAATATCCCAGACATCGCAAATCCATTGCAAAAAACGTTATTTTTAGTTCTATACGACCATATTTTTTGTTTCCTTTTAGCATTTTTGAGAACCCATTACCTCTATTGATTCAACTGTATAGATTGGACGAGAATCATCTCTGATCTCTTCATATGTGACTTTTAATGAGGGCATAGCTTGACAACTAGGCTGGCAGGCTTGACTCACAACTAGTGAACAATATTACACCTAGACTTGACATTTGAAGACTCAAACTTTGGACCACTACTAGCAAGCTAATGCTGAGCTATCCTAATATTAAACAAAACTTGGTGAAACGTTAATGCATCTAGCTTTAATATTTGAAGATTGCCCTAACTTTTTGGATTAGCACTAGCAAGCCAACGTTTAGCTGCCGTAGTATTGGACCAAGCTTCCCAGTACTGGTCCAGGTTTGGGCCTGTTGTCAAGTCTGACATTTCTTACATGAGTTATTATTATTAGTAAGAAAGATATAGATAATCGGAATTTATGATGGTCCACGACTCTTGTTTACTAACAAACAAATACTACACCATCGTTTAGTAGCGTGCTTCATAAGAGATACAACATCAGTCCGAGCCTGCGTCGATAGTCGTCATCGGGGCCAAGACGTCGGCGTCGTCGAGACCCATACAGCAGCAGCAGCAGCAGCAGCGTCGGGTCGGGCGTGACGTGACGCCGTCGCAAGCAGTTTCATTATGATCGGACGCAATTTCCACTATAAAACAAGGGAAAACTCATTGGCGGCAACATCGTGTAACATGTTGTGCTCGAGAACGCGTCAAATGAATAATTTTATTAAGGGACAGGCAGTGAATGTGCATCCAATTAATGTTTGTTTCATTTCGATAAGGTGCGGTGAGATTTATGACTTAGCATAAAGGTGAGAAAAAATATATACGTCGTTAATGAATTAGAAATACTGTCACGCATTTGTAATAAACTGTATCAATGTTATGCCATGTGGGGAACACGTTATTTGGGTAACCAGTTGAGTAGTTTAGATTTATCGTCTTTTAGATATAAACCGGCTAATGTTAATTTCGGTTGGTTTACGATAAAGCACCTTTCTAGTAACATTCTGATTTACTAAACTACATGATTTTCGGTTAATAGGAAACGGAAAATGGGCATTTACTAGGTGGTAGATGAAAATCGTAACTTATTTTTAATGCAATTCTCGTAAATAGTAGTAAACCTTTTTGGTACCGATAAATTTTTTATGAGCGTTTCATAGTCGAATTATACTTAACAAAAAGGTATGTTGTTAAACATTCTACTGACATATTTTGAGATGAAATGTACGTATTAGCTATTGTTCATGGCTTCTATAGCGCGGATTTTGGATTTATGGATGTTGAAGGAAACGTGGGATTTTTGTTATAATTTTAGCAAAGTTTCTAGTGCGATTATTTAGTAAGTAAATTGTGATTGGTTTATTTACCAATATCAGTAATGAGTTCGATCTAAATTTCGTAATACGCGATACTTCTGTTTTCAATGAAAGATCATTTACGATTTTAACGGAAAGATTCATAAAATTCCTTTGATAACCCCAAAATTAGATTGTACCTTTGTCAATTTATTTTTAAATGAAGTTCTTCTTTTAGTAAATCGTTTTGTTAAATTCTTCCCTTTTTGAAATGTTTCGTCACTGTCAATGTTATCAAAACAATTTATTTTCTAAAAGTCATATCTGCGGATAAGCAACTCTTAATTATAAATTTGAAGAAGAAAAGAATATTAACTGTGATCAAAATACACAAGGTGAATCGAATTCATGGTAAACTGTGAATTTCGTTAAAATATACGAATAATGCTCGTATCAAAATGTACCTACTAAAAAGTAAAAAGTTAAAGCAATTCAGAAATAAATAAATAAATAAAACAGATTGCTTCAGGGTAAGTCTGGACTTCTATAAAATTCTCTGCCAGAAATACTTAAATTAATAAACCTGAATCGAATCGAAGAATAAGAAAAGAAATCAACTTTGGTTCAAGTATGCATTTTCACACAAGCTGCATCATCAATAGTTTAAATAAGCCTGATACCAAAAGGCGTTAAAAGATAATGGACTTTACACTAGTCTTGAGTTGATAATAACCACATTTTATGTGGCCGAAACATGTGTCCACAGGGAAAAGGTTAAACAGTAACTAGCAATAGTAAAAGTTCTTTTCTGGTTTATTTGTTCCTTTACCATAATCTCCATTTCCTACATCGGATGTGACAATGGTACATAATGCAATTATAATTAAAATGCGAAAATGTTTATTTGTACAAAATAATATACAAATAAATAATAAATTAAATGAATAATTAAAGGTCACGTACAAATTTATAGACATTACATTAAAAAAACATAAGTTGGTAATTTTCTATAAAAGAACTGTTAACCTTTAAAAACCTTTCTTGACGAAATTGGCATCAAAAGGTGAAACGTCGGTGTTTGTTTATTAAACATACTCCTTACTCTGAGATTCCGGATAAGTATAAATTGGGACAATACGCCGGATATCTCTGCCTTAAAAACGTAGATTTGGTTGAATGATGGATGAGTATTAGGGGTCGAATGCGGAAATGCATGCAAATAAAAATCGATCGTTTTTATATTTATATATTTTAAATGTCTGTGATTATCTAT